GCAACACAAACAATCATGCTGGATCCCGAGAGCTTTGATACATGGAATGAGGTAAAATGAACCCTACATATCTTCAAAATGTTAATTCACTTTATCTAATAAATGAATATGCTTCTTTATACTGAATTGGATATTGATGACATGCAGGATAAAAATAAGAGTAGGCTTAAAGATTACATAAATAAGCCGCTGAAGTATTATGAGAACCTAGCTGTCATCTGTGGCGATGATCAATCAAGAGGTAACTTTGCCAAGGCCTCGATGGAGAAATTTGGGGGCCACGATGCGATCAACCTTGGAGATGATGACGAAGATCAAAATGTTAGCATGTCTGTGCCTCAGAAGTTCCCTCCCACAATTAACTTTTTAGATGAAGATAATCAATCTCAAACCAACAATGATAACGCCTCCAGAAAGGACTACCATAAAATCACTTCATCGGTGAAAGGCCGCACGAGAAAGACAGATGTTGGTCGTGACATCATGCAACAGATGGTGGAAGAAGTTAAGCACTTTTCCTCATCTCTCAATCTTGTTAATCAGCACTGAACTGAGAAATTGTCTGCAGCCATCTTTAGGCACAAAGAAACTTACCCTATAGAAGTGCTGGAGCTATTTTATGATACCACATTTGAAAATGAAACCAAAGCCAGGCATTTTATAGGTAAGAGTGACTTTGGCCAAAGGGCTTTGTTGGACAAATTCATGGAGATGCAAGGTGGGGGAAGTAAATGAGTGTTGGTGAAGGTAGGATTTTACACCAAACTTGTGCTTTTATACTTGTGCTGCGGGGGAAGTAAATGAGTGTTGGTGAAGGTAGGATTTTACACCAAACTTGTGCTTTTATACTTGTGCTGCCATTTTTGATTCATCGTTGCTAATTGGTTATATATATTGCAGGACCTGTGGGGAGCTAGCAATTACCATATACAATTTGCTCAGGCCCTATTAACATGAGTCTATTATTTGGCTAAACTCCTAGATCTGGTATGTTTGTAATATGTTTGAGAGCACGTGACTCATCCTCTACACAGACCTTCAGTCAGCCCTTGAGCTGATTTGTTCACAGCCCATTTCATAAAGCTTCTTTCCATGCTGTTTGGACCATGCTGTTATTGAACCATGGTTGTTGAACCATGCTGTTTGGACTCTTCATTTTTTTTATAAACCCCTGATAAACAACTTGTTCTTTGTTGTCTTCATCTGTTTTGACTGCTAGATGTGCTGTTGCCTTGTGTTGTTTTGACTGCTAGATGGGCTGCTGCCTTGTGCTGATATGATTTGGTTTTTTCTGTTTTGCTAAGTCCCTAATTGCTCAGTCCCTACAGGGTTACTTTTGTTAACTTTCAGATGGTCAATGAAGCTTTGTTCTGATATGGCTTTTCTGTTTTGCTCAGTCCCTATTTGCTCAGTCCCTACAAAGTGATTTTTTGTTAGCTGGTTAAGCTGGTTTTGCTCAGTCCCTACAGAGTGATTTTTGTTATCTTTCAGATGGTCAATGAGAATTTGTTGTGACCTGATTTTATTGTTTTGCTCAGTCCCCTGTTATGCAGTGATGAATGCCATGTTGTTTGGACTGTTAAGTTTTTTTTATAAACCCCTGATAAACAACTTGTAATTTGTTGCCTTGTGCTGTTTTGACTGCTAGATGTGCTGTTGCCTTGTGTTGTTTTGACTGCTAGATGGGCTGCTGCCTTGTGCTGATATGATTTGGTTTTTTCTGTTTTGCTAAGTCCCTAATTGCTCAGTCCCTACAGGGTTACTTTTGTTAACTTTCAGATGGTCAATGAAGCTTTGTTCTGATATGGCTTTTCTGTTTTGCTCAGTCTCTATTTGCTCAGTCCCTACAAAGTGATTTTTTGTTAGCTGGTTAAGCTGGTTTTGCTCAGTCCCTACAGAGTGATTTTTGTTATCTTTCAGATGGTCAATGAGAATTTGTTGTGACCTGATTTTATTGTTTTGCTCAGTCCCCTGTTATGCAGTGATGAATGCCATGGTCAATGAGAATTTGTATATTTGCTCAATCCCCTGATTTTATTGTTTTGCTGTTGTGACCTGATTTTGTTATTCTTTCTCACTGCTGTTTTGACTCTTGCATGATCTAAACACTTGTTCATACACCTAATATTGATTGGTTGTTGAACCATGCTGTTTGGACTGTAATTCTTTTTTATAAACCCCTGATAAACAACTTGTTCTTTGTTGTCTTCATCTGTTTTGACTGCTAGATGTGCTGTTGCCTTGTGTTGTTTTGACTGCTAGATGGGCTGCTGTCTTGTGCTGATTTGATTTGGTTTTTTCTGTTTTGCTAAGTCCCTAATTGCTCAGTCCCTACAGGGTTACTTTTGTTAACTTTCAGATGGTCAATGAAGCTTTGTTCTGATATGGCTTTTCTGTTTTGCTCAGTTCCTATTTGCTTAGTCCCTACGGAGTGTTTTTTGTTATCTTTCAGATGGTCAATGTTGATTTGCTGTGATCTTTTTTTCTGTTTTGCTCAGCCCCTATTTGTGCAGTGATGAATGTCACGTTTTCTGATATTCTAATCCAGGAGAAATTGCATGCAATGATATGGCGAGGTAGTCCATTTTGTGGAATGCAGCCAACACTGTCTTGCAATCTTGGTGATGAATATGTGATGAAGTTGACGTAGACCTGAGCACAATTGTGATACAAACCTGCTGATGCTTCTCTGATGATATATATGTGCATAAGTTACCTTTTACATGACTATTAAGTATTGGAATAGCCTTTTTTTTCAATGAGTTGAGAAAAGTGGAATTGCATTATATCTTATAACCCAAGTGTTTACACAAAACATTTTCATTATATTTTCAAGATGCAGATTACAATGTTTACAAGAACAAGGAAAATATTGAATAGCCCCAAAACCACAATACATTTTCTCATATATTCAACTTGTTCAATTGCATGCTTCAATTCTCTTTGCAAAAGCTTTGTTTCCAGCTCTTTTAATTCAAACACAGCCTGAAGAGAAGCTTCTTCATTTCTGGTTTCCGTAATTTTGATTTCTTTCTTCTCATCTTCGGCCCACCTAAAGAATTTGCATGCTCTGTTTGGGAATTTGGCACAACCCCAAAAATATCTCCCCTTGTTCGCACCCCCTTTGCACTGCTTCAATGGAGTTGGTATATTGCACAAGCATTTTATCTTAGGAGATTTGTGCGTACCTCTTTGGGCAGCAGTCATGGCTAAGCACTATCAATGAAGAAGGCTCTTGGGTAATTGAATTGTGATGAAGCCCCCAAAATGAAGAGGCTCTAGCTTTGCTGCAACGGTAAAAGACTCCCCCAAGTGCACACTTTATATAGAGGGGTTTTTACTTGACCGTTGCCAGATCTTTACTTGCCATCTGTTTTTAAAATATGACCGTTGGTCTGTTATCCGTTGGGATTTTTGCGGTGAAGTGTGTACTCCTTGCTGTGGGCGGTAAGCTCACCATGGTAATCACATGCAACTCTTCTTATGTTGGGGTATTTGTGCATATCAAACATTGGAAATGGAAATTTAAAGAGTGAGGTGGTTTCTTGTTTCTAAAGTAATGAAACAAACATGTGGAAACAAAGAAATACATTTTAAGGGGTTGATTTCACTGTGAAACAAACAAAATATCAGAAAACTGGGAAACATACTGGAAATGTCTTGAAATCATTTCATTTCTTTATTTCTGTTTTCTTTTTTTTCGGAAATGTACCAAACAGGCCCTTAGTGGACTCTCCTTCTCCTTTTGCTTCCATAGCTCCTATTGCGGATGAAGTTCGCGTTGTTTTGTCTGCTATTGGCTGCTCTAAAGTTTCTTATGTAAGGTGCACCGGTAATGGTGTTGCTCATGCCCTAGCTAAGTCGATTGACTATTTGTCCTCTTATTTTTTTGTCTGTTTCTGTCCTTTTATTTTTGAAACAGAGTGTTGTTAAGGACTTAACTGGTTAGGTTGTCCTACCTGCCTTTTCAAAAAAAAACAGTTGATGAACCAGCAATGGACGCCTCTTTTCAAATTAGATCTAGGACGTTGTTGGGCGCTTATTATGGATGGAATTGTCAACATTTGCTGTGCAATAATTTTTAAGAACAGCCCAATCCAATTTGAGGAGGACAAAATTTTCAAGGATTTTGACCAACTCATGTATCATGCGTCGCTAAAATCGATGTTTCAAAACTTCCACAAGTTGCATGTTGAAATCTTTGAAATTTTGTTTTTAAATAAGCTCATATGTAGTAGACAACATCCCTTAGGTTGAATTTTAAATTTAAGATCCTGAATTTTAAAATTGAATTGATAGTATTTGCATCTTAAATACAATTAATTGCAGTCCAACCCAACTCCGGAAGAGTTAGAATATTAAACTTTTTTCCTCTCGTTTTCGTCATCAACCTTCCAAATCATACACTAACAATAAGTTAATAATATTCAGGCTAGTTTTTTTTTTTTTTTTTTTACTTCTTAACAAACTTTCCTTAGGGTAGTTTGGTACTTTCTAAAAATTTAATATTCTAAAAAATCATTTCAAGGTTGAGGGATGTTTGGAGATAACTTCTCAATGGACTCCCTTGCGGAGCTAATTGCTGTTCTAAAAAGACAAAGATGACCCTTTAAACCATCAAGGAATTCCACAACTTTATTAAGCAGATAGCAGTGAATGCTGATGGATTGAGAGCATGATCATGGCTTTATCAGAATGAAAATAATACTCAATAAATTACACATATTTTCTTACACAGTATTAGAACCAAACAAAGATTCGGCTCCCCAGGCGAATGCCTGTCCATCAATTAACAGAAAACCAACTCATTGAAAAGGCTTCTTAGAGATGCAGCCGATGCCAGACTGCCAATAGCTTTGAGTTCACAATAAACGTTGACTGCCAACTACGTATGTTTTTTTAAGTGTATTGAGAACTACAGACTGATCTGTGAACACATAAGAATGACTGGTACATGTATGATAGTTTGGTTTCGGACTAAGTACCAAATGCCAAGATACTTACAAGCACAAAAAGATTTTCTGAATAAATGAAACAAACTTCAGCTTTGAACAATGAGGATTAGTTCGTAAAACAATAGTATAAGGGGAACCACATTTAAAAAATAAAAAATAAAAAAGGGCACCTTTCCAATCTGAACCAATATACAAGATAACTCTCCCTATTTTCATACTACTGGTGTCGCTGCATCATTGAAACTGGATTTTTGGTGTATATTGTAATTTTGTAGTATCTGAATTTTATCACATTGGTGAGTAAGTAGGTAGATCCGCGAATGAGTTGACATCCCAAGGAAGGTCGAAAAGAATTTCTGATACAACAAATTGAATAATTTTCACTGACAGTTTCATTCAGTTTTGGACTTGTCATCAAGCACGGGAACTATTGCAGATGAAAGTTCAATATGTGACACACGAACAGCACCAATAAGCCGTTCTGGCAGCTCGTCAAAAGTGTTTCCCTGTGATTACTTACCAAATTTAAAAAACAGAAGACTTGGGCTAAAAGAATCTCAAGAAAAGTTTTAGTTTTAAATTACAGCAGGCAATATGATTTTTCTGATTTTCAAAATTTTTAGTACATAGGAAGTGAAGATGAACAGATGAGCAAATATAGATTTCAGAGCTGAAATTTGAGAGTTATCCCGAATTAAATACTTCATGTAACGCTTTGTAGTTGCTTCTAAGACTAAATAATCACTTTGTTGAACGGAAAACTACTAGTGACCTCTTGTAGATCATAGGAGAGAAGGGGCCGATGCATCTGTTTGCTTCAAAATTAACCCATAGCCGGAACATCCTGTATGGAGCTTGATGTTATCGCAAATTGATCTTTGGTGTGGTGCAACCTGGCATTTATCTGGCCATGGGGTTTACGTAGTATGAGATTTGCAAGAAAGTATGATTCTGGCACTTGGGATATCCAGCATGATCACTGAATCGAGTGCAGCAGTTTCCAAGTAGCTGGCATGCATGATCATGGAAGCATAATTGGAACTTGCGAAGAAACCTCTATAAGGCTCAGGACATATCTTGAGATTGACATTCATATGGGAGTGTAAGAGCATCATCGGTATTTTCTTGTTTGATGTTCATTTGAGAGTTTAAGAGCGTCATAGCTAATTTCTTGTCCAGCTGATTATTGTGCGAATTTTGGGGCTAGGTTTAGGGCAAGCTACGAAGTTATCAATTACCCTTCATTTTGATGCTTCGGGATGAGTTTGACTCGTGATCATTTCAGTGATTTCACAATTATTATTGTTATGGAGCTGTCTTACTCTAGTGCTAGATGCAACTGAGCTTAGCACTGCAAATTTTATAGGTGCAGTAGGTGGTTATTTCTATTTCACTCGCTTTACTCATGCTAGCATTTAGCTCACTGGACATTCAAGTCAAAAAAAAAAATGGAGGAAACACTTTAGTTCCTTGTTCCAGTTGTGTCTACAGCCAAGGACTACAATATGGGATTCAGATACAGCAATGCAAAGGAAGAAGAGGATAGAAAAAGAATAGGCTGATGATACGCATCAAATCTCTAAACAAAGCCATTCAAATTTTATGACGGTTCAAAAGAAGAAAGAAATCTTAAGAATAAAATAGTGAGTCAATTTAAGAAAAGGTAGATATAAAAGAACATCATCTAATCCATTCCACACTGATCCCTGCACAGTGATCCTTTGTCTATAAACTACCATGAAACTTAATCTCCTACCTTCTATTTCACTAACACATGAAAGTCTCTACTTAATTCTTGGAACACTAGTACCATAAAGATTTAAGTGTGTTTCTTCATTGATATCAGCCATGTAAACTCTGGAAGATAACACAAAACCATACAAGACTTGAAAATTATAACAGATATGCTTACCTGTACAAGAAACGCCATATCAACTACCAATGTAGTGATGACACCAAGTACAAGTCCCAGAACTCCATTGGCCACTGTGGAAGAACCAATATCCACATCTATCTGCAGAAATTTAAAGTCAATTAAACATAGGGCATTTATCTTCCTGCAGCACATCAAGAATTCACTTCCCTTTCACCGATGCATTAACAAGTACTTACTTCCAAATACTTCGGCCCACGAATATAGGTAATATCTACTGCTTTTCCTAGTAAACAAGGGGTGCTTCCAACACTCTGGCGCACAATCCAGGAACCCTTTATAGTAAATAGTATATAGTCAGCACATTAGTGAGGGAAAACACCAGCAAGTGGTTCCCATGTGAACAAATCACCAAATCCTTCCACAATAATCAGCAAAATTGAACAGATAAGTCAGTATTAAAAAAGAAAAAGTACCTTGGGAACAGAAGGGATGAGCTTGAATCTACTATTGCGGAACTCATCGTCCCCGTCAACAAAACGCTGCAACAAAGATCCAGGAACCAGTTGTTTCGTCACAAAGTAAAAGACCATACTGTAGTGGGTTGAACCTGGAACCTGCAACAGTAGTGAAGTAATTTCTCTCAGAAAAACTCTAAATATAAAATGATTATTAGATAGAAGAATGAGTATGCATAGGCACTGCTACAGGTTGTCCATGCCCAGTATGGAAATAGGACAGTGTCAGGCTAATGCTCGAGTATTTGCTCTTCCTACTAGTAAAAACAAGGAGAAAGTAAATACAGAAAGGGAATAATCCTGAAAGTTACCCCGTGAAAGAATAGACAGTTGAGTGATTACTACAAGCTTAGGATCTAGGAGCTATTAAAGTATCAAGAAGTATTATGACAGAAAGGCAACAGGAGGCACTTACCAAGCATTTATAATACAGCACATTGTAAACCCTCTCCCTATGTGTAAGGTTAGCAAAAGCTTATGCGCAATCAATTTGGACATCATGTTAAATGTTGCTGCTAAAGAGTGCATTCCAAAACCAATTTATTAACTGTAGAAGTGCTTATGCACATTGTTAAAGTGAACCCATCAGTTTTAAGTTTTGATTAAAATGGTTTCCTCAACATGGTGGCTGAGCACCACACTCATTTAAAAATTTATTCTTTTGCCCTTATTTATTTTGCTTTTCAATTGAGAACTCCTAGTGCATTTATGCTGGAAGCCTTAATAAATACATGGTCACAAGGACCACACGAGGAGGAACTTTAAGCATCAAGAGTGACTGATATATATTGAACACAGCCATCAACTGATATAGATTAACCACAAACATCAGCTTCAGGTTTTTGGTGAAGTAGTTACCTGATGGGAAAAAAAAGGTTCTCATTGCTAAAAAGACATTAGAAATGAGCCCACTCTATACAAACAGCACCAAAGATATGGAAGTATCGCTTACCTGCACGTTAATAGCTAATGAGAACAGTCCTTTTTCAGAGGCAACCTACATCATCAAAGAAAACACCATTAAAATAAAATTTCAGAAATTAACTTGAGTAACTTATCTGGATGTAAGTTATATCCAACATACAAATGTGCAAGAGCAGCATTTAAGAATTCAGTGGAAAGTAACTTCAGTAGACAGATACCACAACAGAAATGCCCTCAAAAAATCCCACTACCCAAACGCCCAACCGAACAAAACAAAAGATTCCGTGTCAGTACAAGTTTGGCAATAAAATGGCATTAATTTTACCATCTCTCCCAAAAGAGAAACATAACCCGACAGCAATATTTCTAACTCATAGTATAACTTTTTAGGGTGAAAGCAATATACAACTATCATAATCATAATATTGCAATATAATTGTTACAATGTTGAAATACTATGTCCTGTGCTGTGCATCACATGGGAAAATTTTCTAGCTTTAACTAAAGAGAAACTATAAAGCTGAACTACAAACAGTAAAGTTATTACTTAAGAATCATAATATGTATCCAGTGGTTTATCTGGGAAGCAATTCCACTGTGGAAGAACCAATATCCACATCTATCTGCAGAAATTTAAAGTCAATTAAACATAGGGCATTTATCTTCCTGCAGCACATCAAGAATTCACTTCCCTTTCACCGATGCATTAACAAGTACTTACTTCCAAATACTTCGGCCCACGAATATAGGTAATATCTACTGCTTTTCCTAGTAAACAAGGGGTGCTTCCAACACTCTGGCGCACAATCCAGGAACCCTTTATAGTAAATAGTATATAGTCAGCACATTAGTGAGGGAAAACACCAGCAAGTGGTTCCCATGTGAACAAATCACCAAATCCTTCCACAATAATCAGCAAAATTGAACAGATAAGTCAGTATTAAAAAAGAAAAAGTACCTTGGGAACAGAAGGGATGAGCTTGAATCTACTATTGCGGAACTCATCGTCCCCGTCAACAAAACGCTGCAACAAAGATCCAGGAACCAGTTGTTTCGTCACAAAGTAAAAGACCATACTGTAGTGGGTTGAACCTGGAACCTGCAACAGTAGTGAAGTAATTTCTCTCAGAAAAACTCTAAATATAAAATGATTATTAGATAGAAGAATGAGTATGCATAGGCACTGCTACAGGTTGTCCATGCCCAGTATGGAAATAGGACAGTGTCAGGCTAATGCTCGAGTATTTGCTCTTCCTACTAGTAAAAACAAGGAGAAAGTAAATACAGAAAGGGAATAATCCTGAAAGTTACCCCGTGAAAGAATAGACAGTTGAGTGATTACTACAAGCTTAGGATCTAGGAGCTATTAAAGTATCAAGAAGTATTATGACAGAAAGGCAACAGGAGGCACTTACCAAGCATTTATAATACAGCACATTGTAAACCCTCTCCCTATGTGTAAGGTTAGCAAAAGCTTATGCGCAATCAATTTGGACATCATGTTAAATGTTGCTGCTAAAGAGTGCATTCCAAAACCAATTTATTAACTGTAGAAGTGCTTATGCACATTGTTAAAGTGAACCCATCAGTTTTAAGTTTTGATTAAAATGGTTTCCTCAACATGGTGGCTGAGCACCACACTCATTTAAAAATTTATTCTTTTGCCCTTATTTATTTTGCTTTTCAATTGAGAACTCCTAGTGCATTTATGCTGGAAGCCTTAATAAATACATGGTCACAAGGACCACACGAGGAGGAACTTTAAGCATCAAGAGTGACTGATATATATTGAACACAGCCATCAACTGATATAGATTAACCACAAACATCAGCTTCAGGTTTTTGGTGAAGTAGTTACCTGATGGGAAAAAAAAGGTTCTCATTGCTAAAAAGACATTAGAAATGAGCCCACTCTATACAAACAGCACCAAAGATATGGAAGTATCGCTTACCTGCACGTTAATAGCTAATGAGAACAGTCCTTTTTCAGAGGCAACCTACATCATCAAAGAAAACACCATTAAAATAAAATTTCAGAAATTAACTTGAGTAACTTATCTGGATGTAAGTTATATCCAACATACAAATGTGCAAGAGCAGCATTTAAGAATTCCCTACCCCTCAAAAAAATCCCACTACCCAAACGCCCAACCGAACAAAACAAAAGATTCCGTGTCAGTACAAGTTTGGCAATAAAATGGCATTAATTTTACCATCTCTCCCAAAAGAGAAACATAACCCGACAGCAATATTTCTAACTCATAGTATAACTTTTTAGGGTGAAAGCAATATACAACTATCATAATCATCCTACCCCTCAAAAAAATCCCACTACCCAAACGCCCAACCGAACAAAACAAAAGATTCCGTGTCAGTACAAGTTTGGCAATAAAATGGCATTAATTTTACCATCTCTCCCAAAAGAGAAACATAACCCGACAGCAATATTTCTAACTCATAGTATAACTTTTTAGGGTGAAAGCAATATACAACTATCATAATCATAATATTGCAATATAATTGTTACAATGTTGAAATACTATGTCCTGTGCTGTGCATCACATGGGAAAATTTTCTAGCTTTAACTAAAGAGAAACTATAAAGCTGAACTACAAACAGTAAAGTTATTACTTAAGAATCATAATATGTATCCAGTGGTTTATCTGGGAAGCAATTGACCATGGTATGTAACTATACCTGCTTAAGTGATAAAAGACACTGGGTGTCAAAAGTCCCAGTTCCATCCCTGGAACTAGCAAAAAAAGGCTGCGGAAAATTTTCCCCCTCCCTCCACACCCCTTCCCTCTCTAAAATAGTAAATAATTGTAAGAAAACGTAAATCTCTCTTACAAGAAAACTCAAACCATAAAAAAAAATGAATCATAGCCATCTAAATGCACCCCTAAGTTATCCTGCGTCGTGTTCACCAAATTTCACATAGACAAATCAATGGAAAGAAGAGGCAGCCAGCACTTCACATGCAAGTCACAACAGTTATTAATACAATATAGATCACCTACATGCTCTTAACAGAGCAGATTGGAGAAAAACTACTTATGTAGCACCCTTAAAAAGATAATGGCTTAAATGTTGTTGCAGCAACCACATAAATTTACTACATATGTCATAATATTTGAACTAAACATGATAAATTTGCATAAGGAATTGTTCCATCAAAAGAAAATTCCGATAAGGTACCCAGATAACTCAAATATAAATCAGGTTTCGCAATGGGTTCTGCATTGTGATCAATATTAACTATTGTTTGTCCTCCAATGAAAAGGTAATAGATGAAAAAGGAAAATTGCACTTGAAAGTCGATGGTGACCCAGAACATACTTGGACAGCACAGCCTTGCCGCCTTGCAACATGGTCCATTCGTTTAGCATCCTTAAACCAATCAACAGCTACAAGCTCCATAAGAGGCTTACCTGCAGGAATCTGCAACTCAAGTATTGAATCCATAAAGAACAGAAGCATGTGAAGTATTAGTTTTACTCGTAAAGCATGGCTAACTTCAAAAGGGAAATGAAAGACCTTGGTTTTGTCATATGCAAAGTGTTTGCTACGGACTCTGAAGTTGTTACCATCAGATATTCTCCAACAATCACGGCTTTTATCCCGGTCATCACGGCGCAAGTTGCCAGAGAAGCAGGATAAATCAATTTGATCTGAGGGCTCCTCTTTCACAACTTCAAAGTCATAAAAGTATAAAGTAAACATCTAGCTGCTTTTTTGCCAGGTGATTAAATATCACTATATAAATTGGAAAACAACCTTCATCACTAACCTGTCCGCTTATTATCACTTTCAAGTTTGAGAGCATATACCTGCATATAGCAAGCATTCATGTTTAGACACAAAGCAAAGATGCAGATGACCACATAAGCAGTCTACTCACCTCTGGTTCCAGTTCAGGAATTTGATAGTCATCATCCTCTTCAGAATCTTCATCCAACATCGTAGAGTGCCTACTTCCAGAATGCATTTGATCTACTGTGGGAGTGGGCTGAACAGAAGTTTCCCGATCTTTCCTTTCCTTCTTAGAAGAAACAGAATCTGCTGACATATTCACCATCACTGGCATTCTCGGTACTTTTGGGCTTTCATCTGTTTGAGAAAACCATTCACGTAGCCCTGCCATTGATGCAAATCATACATGATTAACATGACAAAATGCTTACAAAGAGTAGAAAGAAAATTATAAAAGTTTAATTTGGACAATTTATCAACAAGATGTGGTTAGAAAACCTTGTATAATAAACACAATTGACTTTGTTATATTGTGAATGTAAGCAAGCAAGTGCTATGTGCACATGCACAAATTTGGCAACTGGAAGGATTGAAAGAGAAACTTTCTCATTAAAACATAATATAAAACATCCAAATGAATTACGCTTTGTGCAAGTTGATGTATCATTTGAAGAGGTTAAAAGCCAAAACTCAGGTGAAACTAACGTTCTCTTGCTCATGTATCAACTATCAAGTAGCAAAAATGGGCAGTGAAAATAGCACGCTGCTTAGATACATGGTTTGGAGTATATCGGTTGTCAATCCAAGCCTTTAATCATGATCCAAACATTTTGAACTCTTACATGCCAATTTTAGTTGGGTACTGTTATACCACTAGAATTATTAAATATTAATCTCCACAGAGAAGCCGACACGTGGCTTACACTATACCTAACCCGACTAATTCAAGACCAAGATAACTTCCGCCTCAGCACGACCAACTCAGTTGGCCAATATCTTGCGTAACCAAGTCAAAATACGGTACTACTCGGTCAACCCCTCAATTGATTCCACAACGACTCGACTCGGGCTTCTGTTCAGCCGACATCTCGTGTAACCGAGTCAAAAGGCGGTGTTTCTCGGCCTTGGATCTGAGGAGTCGAAAGACGACAGTTATCTCGAACCCCTTGCTAGCCGACTACTTCCGCATTAACTGCCCTGACAACATTATCATTATTCTAGGCCATATAGCTTTTATAACTCATTGGACCTAGTCAACACCGAGCACCTACTGTCATTCCCATAATAAATGACCAGGTGACTCACATCCTTTAGCAAACGGCACGTAACACATGTCTGTTGACTCAGCTGTCTAGCTGGACTCGGTCCAAGTTATCTTCTTATCCTCAGATCCAATATAAAAGGAGCGGCACTGCATGAGGTAAGCCTCTCTGGTTTTTTCTAGGAGATAACGAATAGATAATTCTATATTTCCCCACTCAAGATCATCTACTAACTTGATCGTCGGAAGAACAACCAGAACAACTCCGCCCTCTTACGAGTTCTTTCATGTGCGGGGAAGAACAGCAAGCTCCATAACCATTCATCAGAAAGAGTTAAAGGACCCTAATCACTTCACAAACTCTAAGATAACCCCATGTTTGATAACTGACATCAACAGGTACTAAACAATAGATGTAAACAACTTGCTAGTTTCAACAATCCATTTTATGCCTACTTATACATAAGAAAGAAATTGGTTACGAAATAGTATAAAGAACAAACATAAGACGCGCGCGCGCACACACACATATATATATTTATTTATATTTATATACACTATTTCCTATGTTCCTACAGTTCGCTTGCCCTAGCCCTCCTCCTCAGCACCATGGATAAAGGTACATGAACAGAACTCATCATCGTAAAACAAAATTTTCCCATCAAACTGGATCAATAATGAAGCACGATAAAACGTCAAGCAAACATCAGAAAGAACCAACCCACTCTTCTGTGACCATGTGCCTGACCTCAGATGCTTATGAGCTTTCTGAGCTTACACCATATTCCTAGTGAAGGTAATCTTGTAATGAATGACCTCATGTATTTTGTTAAGTAGTTAAACCTAGTTTCTAGCACATTACACTAAGCTCATGCAAAAAAAGGAGCTATCTAAATAAACCTAATCAGCGAAAGGACTGGAATAAGCAAGACAATGACCTGTGGTATAGAGAGCTATATTCATAGTGCATAAGTACCAAACTGGAACTAGTCACAACCTAACTCACGCAAATTTGTGTGGGTTAAGGGGGTGGAATTGAATTAAGATTGAGTTGAGCATGTTGGAGTCGTCTCAACCTGATAGCACCATCCTCAATGGTCGTGCTCAAAATAAGCTTTTACTAATTTAGACATTTAAAGGAAACAAAATAAATTTTGTGCCTTCTACACATGAGCATGGTTCTACTTTTACATCAACCAGTAGATTCATAAGCATGAAATCCTACTTTTGTGCATTCCATGCATTGTATCGTAGATCCAAAAAAGGGAACTATAGCAGCATGTGATCAATTTTGATTGCTAATCTCAGAAAAAATTACATTCATGGGAATAACCCATCAGGCGATCACTATATGCAACCTTATCGGCTTTGTCAAAAGTACAAAACTTATCTGTTTTCTGATCTCTCGCTCGCTTGCTCCCTCTTCCTCGGGAACACGAACACCTTTTGTATGTCTGTATGCATGCAGTTGATCTAACTTAATGATTGAGTAATCTCTTAAGAAATGTCTACATAGAAGCAGACATATCACTACCAAATACCAATTAAGGAAACTTTTCCTAAAGCTGACTTCACACGCAAAACTAAATTCCCACAGAGATGATTTCTGTTTGTATGCATGCTGTACATATATGCATGTATATATGATTTGATTATAGAATAATCTTGGGTGGCGTGTCTACTATTAAGCAGACAGATCATTCCCTAGTGAGTAGAACCATTGTTGAAACTAGAAGTAATAAAAGAAGGTAAAAAATTTTGTGGAAATAGAGTGCCTCATAAATACGTCAAAAGACTGGGGTTCCAGGAAGCCATAATGGTAATTGCAGGACAGTTATTTTCATCGCCTATCAGCAGATGCTCTTAAAACCTAAGTTACCTAGGTACTTCTATCGGAAGTCATACCTGTACCTGACACATACCTGTATCCGACACGCACCCATACCCGTACAGAAACTTCTTGGGCACTTCTTCAATATATGCATATGTTTATTTAGGCGTATAGTCAATTATATAATACATTTTTTTTAATTTGAAACACTCCTCATACACTTCTTGGACATATATTCTACACTTCACATCTATTTCGTATATATTGACCATATGTAAATGAAAACACTATATTGATCTTATGTAAGTTATTAATTTTAGTACATATAAATAAGAAAATGAACAATGGGTAATCTTTCTTTGTTCTGGTGAACAGCCATGTCATACCATTCACGCTGCACTTTGATGTTAACTTTTTATTTGTCTGCCTTACATTGTGAAACAATAAAATTTTTGAAGGTTTGCCAATGAGAAAGTTCTTATCATCCCTCAAGACAATATTTAGTGTACTTCTGGAAGACATTTAGCAGTTCTTCATTCTATTGTTCTGGTGATGTTTTATAACTGATGCAAAAAATTTAGGTGGTGGATTCAACATTTATTTAGCTCTAAGTTATCACTTGTCGTTCTAATTAGAAGCTTCAGCACAAAATTCATTCATATATTCGACAAATCTTAACTGATTAGTGCCGTTTGTTTATAGACACATGTAGTCACAACTCTTTCGAACTCCATTCATGTATGATGGATCAAACATCAAGCAAAATGCATTATGCAAGGAGATTCTCATTGCCAAAGAAAATATTATTAGAAAGGGATATTGTGTTACTTTCCCATGAACTGATTTTCGCACCTATCACCTACTTTAATTTAAAGAATACATGTCCATACTAGTAAACCAAAATACACTAATTAAGAAGCCTGGCATTACACACGAATAGAAGTTATATCCTTAACTACGTCAGTCAGAACAATACATAGGATCTCAAAAGTAATTCTAGCAGAAAAGCTAAGGACCCATTAGCGGAAGGCAAGATTACACAAAAAAAACTTTTAATCTTTTCTATTTTTTGAGGAAACTAATCTTCTTAGTTAATACTATAATAGATTCACGTATCTGATAAAGAATAAACACTCCCTAAATTATTAAAGATTATTATGACCATCTAAAGCCCTTTTATCGCAATGAGAATGCTAATAATGAAATTCAAGAGAGCTCAAAACAGCACTCTATAATCATTTCTTAACACGGTAAAAATCATGCTAATATTTAGTGTGAAATTCCTAATTAAAAAGGAACCACATGTCCCAGAACTTTGACAGCAGATGGCAGGTAGCAACCTATAATTTTGGTCATGTAATCCAAGTGACAAAAGGATCTTCAGAAAGATGTTAAGTTTGTATGGTTAACCACAGGGAGTAGACACAACTCCGAGGCATGCACAAGTGGAAAAAGTATGAATTTTCCAAATTTAAGTCATAACTCATAAGTCATAATGGATGGTACAAGTCTCGCTAAATTATAAACAAATGATAGGTGGAGAAAAGTTGGTACCAGCAACGCTGTTTAACATCTGAAGTAAACAATGCTGCTGAAAAGATGGAAAATATCCTACGCCCCATCCCTTCAAATCAATTTGCATTAGATGCTGAACTTGTGTGCGTGGTCGCCCATTTCGTGATTTTAGGGGAAAGATGTTGAATCCACCACCTGAAATGCAGAAATAAGAAAATACTATTTAAAGAAACTGAACATAATAAGTTGATAACTATCTTTCTACATTAAAAATTCATGCAAAATGTAAGCATGAATAAAGAGAAATGATGGGTTATATACTTTCAATATGAGCTCTCACAAATCCTGGCTGTGGACCACAGTTTGGATGCTCCCTGGACTGAAACAACACAACTGCACGATGACAACATATATCTGCCAGTATTAGACAATAAAGCCACTGGAAAATAATATATAAAATCGAATGCTCACCATAACTTCCATCATCATTGCGCCGCCAGTAGCGCACATAACATAGATCACGTGGCCAAACAAATCTGCACAAGCAATTAAATTTGAAAAAGGCTTGTTCACTGTAGGAATAGGAAATGTAAACAAATAAAGAGATCTGCATGCTGCAAATAGATCCCAAGGCATGTACCACATGCAAAAAGACATTCAGATCATCAAATGTGTCATAAACAAGATTCTAGGGTGAGCTCCACACTGTAGTGACCAAAAGCATGGATGATCTTTTAGATTTTTTATGGGATTCAAAAGGAGATAGCCACATTTAAATGTAATCTCTTCATCAATAAGAATATATAACAATGGTTCTGGTAGATGTGCTTTACCACACTCGTATAAACCAAAATTAAGGCATCTCATTTTAATTATATTAAGGGTTTTTTCCTTTGAAACCACCTTAAAAATAAAGTAATTCTACAGGAACCACCTTTGGATTTCAATTTATACATAAACCATTTTAAAGTGGGTTTTTGATGCAATCAAGCACCTCTCACTCAAATTTTCATTAAAATATCAAAAGAAAATTAAAATTTTCACGTTCAAGGTGTATGGCTTGTATCCTAACTAAACCTAAACATTAACATAATGGACCGTGTGCCATGAATGTGAGTTTTTAAGGGTATTTTTGGGTTTTTAGTGAAAAGTTTGATTGAGAGGTGGTTGACTACAACACAAACCCACTCTAAAGGTGCTGTGTATAAATTGAAATCCAAAGGCGGTTCTTGTAGAATTACTCTATTTTTAAAGTCGTTTCTAGGGGGGAAAGCCTTGTATTAAAGTTAAACCCACAGACAGAAAATTCCTTGTCTTCAAACTCTTATCAAAGCATAGGGACGCTACATAGATCCAATCTTATTTCCAGGCCAATTTGTTAAAATTAAGCTAGACTTCATCATGACATAGAAATAAAAAATGTAGGTTTAACTCTGCAGCCATCACCCACAAATGACTTAAGGGTCTTAAATGACTATGAAATATATAAGGACTTTATGGAATATATAAGGGCTTAGTAACTAAATTTGACCCCCTCAAAGAGAATAAAGATCATATGACCAATCAGATCCTCATTCAGAAGCATTCTGCAGCAGGCTGCAGATCATTATTTGAATCAGTATTTAGCATAATACCGTGGTAGGCTGCAGTGGAGAAAGAAGATGCAGCTTAAAGGTAGTAGGAGCACTAGTAGACTAGCAAAGGTAGAGTGCATCATTTCTAGGAGATGGAAGGGAAAGACTCAACAATCAACAATATGATCAGGACTCTGACAAAGGCAACAGAAAACAAGTAGAAAAGAGTAACAAGCACAACTGAAAACAACAATGCGAAGAATAGAACCCAGAACAAGGAGAAAACACATACATGACATATCTTTGCTCGGAATGGAATTATACCAAAATGGTGGGGAGTGTTGGCGATGTCCAACGTTTGCATTGTTCTAGAGTGCTACGATGTGTATATTGTAAAAGGTAATAACAGAACGAAGAAGAAGGAAAAAATTTGGTAGGCTCAGAACAGAAAGTTGTAAGAAATAACCATAGATATAGGACAAATGGGTTAAATTTTTGTAGCCCCAAAGAAGAAAATCCTACCTAAGCTAATACTCATAGGAAAGGCTAATTTGGTCAACACCTAACTTGAAGATGGTGAACAGACTTCAAGGAGACAATTGAATTAAATTAAGGCATTGATGGAAAATATCCGAAAGTTCATAAGGTTCCACTCTATCAGGACATATACCCGAAAGTTCATAAGGTTCCACTCAATGAGGACAATTACAAGATTTGCATCATCAATGTGAGACAACTTATCAGGACAATTAATAGATATAATTGCTTCCAAGGACACAATTAACAAGTGGAACTTAAGCGCCATCATAGCCAAGGGCTACACAAACTTTCATGGCAGCTTAAAGTACAGGGACAAACATAACCCAAGAATTAAAATGGTCAAAAAAATAAACAAGAGAAAAGGAAGAACAGGGATGTACTCTTAAATGAAAGACAAAAGGCAAAGACGATAAAAGGAGAAGCGATGACTTATGACAATTGTATGAGAATATAAAGGAAGAGCACAAGAGTTCTTAAAAAATAAGGGAAACAAAAGATTGAAGCATTTCTTGGTCGCAGGAAGCAAGTTCGTATTAGAGAAGTTTATAAGTTTGAGAGCTGTAAACATTATTTTTCAAAAATAGGATGACGTATAAGCAAGAAAACTGGAGAAGTTGGAAGTTGGGATGGAAGAATAGAGAATTTCTATCTGAGTGGAACAGCGTGTCTGTGTGGTATTTAAAACAACGCCGGTGCTAATAAAACCCAATAAAAGAAGTTGCATGCCTTAGTCATCTGGTGGCAGTTGAGGTTTCTTTCTTTCTTTTCATTTTTCTGTCTGCAAGAGAGTGTGTGCGCTGGGGGGTGGGAGTGAGGGGGTGTTTGGCCCTTCAGAAATGGGTAGGTACAGCAACCTCCAAACCAACCTTTATAGAAACTGCTGATGCTCCCTTCATGTTATGGTGAAACTAAATATTATTGAGATTTCCCACACCAATCAATTTGCATTAGATGCTGAACTTGTGTGCGTGGTCGCCCATTTCGTGATTTTAGGGGAAAGATGTTGAATCCACCACCTGAAATGCAGAAATAAGAAAATACTATTTAAAGAAACTGAACATAATAAGTTGATAACTATCTTTCTACATTAAAAATTCATGCAAAATGTAAGCATGAATAAAGAGAAATGATGGGTTATATACTTTCAATATGAGCTCTCACAAATCCTGGCTGTGGACCACAGTTTGGATGCTCCCTGGACTGAAACAACACAACTGCACGATGACAACATATATCTGCCAGTATTAGACAATAAAGCCACTGGAAAATAATATATAAAATCGAATGCTCACCATAACTTCCATCATCATTGCGCCGCCAGTAGCGCACATAACATAGATCACGTGGCCAAACAAATCTGCACAAGCAATTAAATTTGAAAAAGGCTTGTTCACTGTAGGAATAGGAAATGTAAACAAATAAAGAGATCTGCATGCTGCAAATAGATCCCAAGGCATGTACCACATGCAAAAAGACATTCAGATCATCAAATGTGTCATAAACAAGATTCTAGGGTGAGCTCCACACTGTAGTGACCAAAAGCATGGATGATCTTTTAGATTTTTTATGGGATTCAAAAGGAGATAGCCACATTTAAATGTAATCTCTTCATCAATAAGAATATATAACAATGGTTCTGGTAGATGTGCTTTACCACACTCGTATAAACCAAAATTAAGGCATCTCATTTTAATTATATTAAGGGTTTTTTCCTTTGAAACCACCTTAAAAATAAAGTAATTCTACAGGAACCACCTTTGGATTTCAATTTATACATAAACCATTTTAAAGTGGGTTTTTGATGCAATCAAGCACCTCTCACTCAAATTTTCATTAAAATATCAAAAGAAAATTAAAATTTTCACGTTCAAGGTGTATGGCTTGTATCCTAACTAAACCTAAACATTAACATAATGGACCGTGTGCCATGAATGTGAGTTTTTAAGGGTATTTTTGGGTTTTTAGTGAAAAGTTTGATTGAGAGGTGGTTGACTACAACACAAACCCACTCTAAAGGTGCTGTGTATAAATTGAAATCCAAAGGCGGTTCTTGTAGAATTACTCTATTTTTAAAGTCGTTTCTAGGGGGGAAAGCCTTGTATTAAAGTTAAACCCACAGACAGAAAATTCCTTGTCTTCAAACTCTTATCAAAGCATAGGGACGCTACATAGATCCAATCTTATTTCCAGGCCAATTTGTTAAAATTAAGCTAGACTTCATCATGACATAGAAATAAAAAATGTAGGTTTAACTCTGCAGCCATCACCCACAAATGACTTAAGGGTCTTAAATGACTATGAAATATATAAGGACTTTATGGAATATATAAGGGCTTAGTAACTAAATTTGACCCCCTCAAAGAGAATAAAGATCATATGACCAATCAGATCCTCATTCAGAAGCATTCTGCAGCAGGCTGCAGATCATTATTTGAATCAGTATTTAGCATAATACCGTGGTAGGCTGCAGTGGAGAAAGAAGATGCAGCTTAAAGGTAGTAGGAGCACTAGTAGACTAGCAAAGGTAGAGTGCATCATTTCTAGGAGATGGAAGGGAAAGACTCAACAATCAACAATATGATCAGGACTCTGACAAAGGCAACAGAAAACAAGTAGAAAAGAGTAACAAGCACAACTGAAAACAACAATGCGAAGAATAGAACCCAGAACAAGGAGAAAACACATACATGACATATCTTTGCTCGGAATGGAATTATACCAAAATGGTGGGGAGTGTTGGCGATGTCCAACGTTTGCATTGTTCTAGAGTGCTACGATGTGTATATTGTAAAAGGTAATAACAGAACGAAGAAGAAGGAAAAAATTTGGTAGGCTCAGAACAGAAAGTTGTAAGAAATAACCATAGATATAGGACAAATGGGTTAAATTTTTGTAGCCCCAAAGAAGAAAATCCTACCTAAGCTAATACTCATAGGAAAGGCTAATTTGGTCAACACCTAACTTGAAGATGGTGAACAGACTTCAAGGAGACAATTGAATTAAATTAAGGCATTGATGGAAAATATCCGAAAGTTCATAAGGTTCCACTCTATCAGGACATATACCCGAAAGTTCATAAGGTTCCACTCAATGAGGACAATTACAAGATTTGCATCATCAATGTGAGACAACTTATCAGGACAATTAATAGATATAATTGCTTCCAAGGACACAATTAACAAGTGGAACTTAAGCGCCATCATAGCCAAGGGCTACACAAACTTTCATGGCAGCTTAAAGTACAGGGACAAACATAACCCAAGAATTAAAATGGTCAAAAAAATAAACAAGAGAAAAGGAAGAACAGGGATGTACTCTTAAATGAAAGACAAAAGGCAAAGACGATAAAAGGAGAAGCGATGACTTATGACAATTGTATGAGAATATAAAGGAAGAGCACAAGAGTTCTTAAAAAATAAGGGAAACAAAAGATTGAAGCATTTCTTGGTCGCAGGAAGCAAGTTCGTATTAGAGAAGTTTATAAGTTTGAGAGCTGTAAACATTATTTTTCAAAAATAGGATGACGTATAAGCAAGAAAACTGGAGAAGTTGGAAGTTGGGATGGAAGAATAGAGAATTTCTATCTGAGTGGAACAGCGTGTCTGTGTGGTATTTAAAACAACGCCGGTGCTAATAAAACCCAATAAAAGAAGTTGCATGCCTTAGTCATCTGGTGGCAGTTGAGGTTTCTTTCTTTCTTTTCATTTTTCTGTCTGCAAGAGAGTGTGTGCGCTGGGGGGTGGGAGTGAGGGGGTGTTTGGCCCTTCAGAAATGGGTAGGTACAGCAACCTCCAAACCAACCTTTATAGAAACTGCTGATGCTCCCTTCATGTTATGGTGAAACTAAATATTATTGAGATTTCCCACACCAATCACCAAAGGTGCAAATTCTCATGTATGGATGCATATTAAATATCCATCTGTACTAACATTATAATGTGAATTGTGAAGCAATAAAATGTGAAAGGTAAGAATGGTCATGAAAACATGTTCGACCAGCAGTATATAGGCGAAGGAAAAACAGTTTTGATGCTATCCCATATTTAAATGCTCAAATGGAAAAATAAATCAATTTATTTCTCTCAATGTTTTGCACTATTAACACTAACAGTTACATGTCTTGGGTTGTTAATCAATACTAGCCAGTCTCTAGTAGTTTCCAGTTAGCCTTTTAGTTGACAGAACATGATCTGTGGCCAGAGTCCATTAAAGAATATTAACATCAGGTAAAATCATGTTCCATGATGTGTCACTTTAAGTGAACGGCTATATATTTATATCGCCACTCTTTACTCTTATGATTAGAGATGCATTGAAGACATCACACGGTTGATGTTAGCATATTTAAAAGACCTTTAGGAATAAAAAGGGGGGAAATACAGAATAAATTGAAGGTAAAATATGGTTTACACTAGTATGACATTCTATATGACATTCTAAAAGTTGCAATTTCAGGTGAACGCATGGATTACTTTAATCAACAGGTTCTTATTAAACTAAATGTTACCAATTCCAATTACTTCCGTGAAACTCAATTTCATATTAGAAAATTACATGGAGAACCAGTCTAGCTGCAGCCTGTGGTATAGAATAGCAGTGTGTCCATCTACCTCCTCGACTAAGCTCCCATACTGAAAGCTGCAATCCCACCTGCAACAAAAGCGTGAAAAGACAAGTAAGCAATTTACAAGACTAATAAATAAGAATCATTCATATAGAAAAATCTTACTCAAAACGTGTTCCATCCATTCCCATTACAAGCTCAAATATAGCTTCACATGAGGCCTCAACTACACCAACAGCCTTCATTGCTCTACTACAGCTTCTTGGCTGCTTGACACACGTATATAGATTGTGGAATCAGAAAAGCCACTAATAATATCTAGCAAATGCAAGTATATAAAGTGGTAGTCACAACATACAAGGTAGTCAACTTCGACAAGCTCTTCGAAGATACGAAGTCCTGTAGTAGGTTAAAAATCAGAGATCAGTTTTTATATATAGACAACATTAAGAAACCTTACTGGATACAAATATGTGTATGTGGGCGTACACATGCATCTTTGAGAGAAATTAGACGAAATGAAATCATACCATTCTGGCATCTAACTAAACGCCAGTGCTTTCTAGAGAAAAGTTGATCGGAGGAGGTCTCGTTAGTTATCCAGGAATCCTGCTCCTGCGTCCAGTCAAGTACTGACTCAGGAGGACCTGCCAGTGGAGAAAAGCACAATCACCCACTGCGGCCACTAAACTACCTAATAAAAGAACATCGACTATAAAAATTGTAATAAGAACAATCTTTATGACCATTTCCTATCGTTGTCCTCCGCATTAATGCTCGGTGACTCTCTTCTTCATCTTCAGGACTGCACCTACAGAAATATTTTCAAGTATGTCAATGACATAGAGTGAAATCAGGAAAGCATGCACTAGAAACTAACTGCTTTTTTATATTAGGTGAATGGATATAATATACATTAATCAAAAAAGAATGTGGAACTGAAAACTGAAGCTCAAAACATAGGCATCGGAAGCAGAAATGAACAGCAGTACCAACTATTACAGAAAGTATACACCAAGAATCTCTAAAATATGGGTGCACATAGCATAATCTCCAAGATGCCAGACACATCACTGAGTTGTGATACCACTTTTTACCGAGGCAATACGAAGTTATGTTGAATAATTATAGATAATCAGAAGTTTGCTCCATCAAAGTCTACTGAGAGTTTAGATTTGTTCGATATAATAGCCAACACTCGTAGTATGATCAGCCCCCAACTATGACGCCTCAAGATCTAACCTCAATGCATCCTTGTGAATAACACAGATATCACAGGGAACCATGATAGGAATATACTTTGCAAGGGGATATAGCAACATATATTCACAACAAAACTTCTACTAACATATTCATATGTTTAGTGTCTGAGTGTGTAAAGCAGAAATGTATGTTTGCATGTGCGCGTAGACAAGCTGCTTGATGCAAATCAAGCAAGTGCCCCAACTCCTGGCAAATTAACAACATCAATATTTTAAAAAACTGCAAACATCAATGTCAAAAATGATCATTTAGAAGAAGGAGCAAAAAATATTGACATGAAGGGAAAAAAATATGAACAGGAATACCAGTGATCCATCAAATATTATAGAAATTTTACCAGCAGAAAAGAATGGAACAAAAAAGCAAACACTTAGCATTCAAAATCTCCAACCAAGATGACACTGAAAATCTCCAACAAAATCAACTTTTTATCATTCTATTGTCATCAAAAATAATATCCTAAGAAACTTTGTATCATTCTGTTGTCATCAAAAATAATATCCTAAAGCAGTCAGTGACTTACAGACTTTCACGGTCAGAGGAAGAAGCATTTCTTCCATTATCAGTCCCAGATTTATACTGAAATGAAGCATAGACCTTATTGCCATTAGCTGGCAATGAACCTTGTTGCTGCACTAAACAGAGGAATCATTAGCAGTTATACTAATACATTTGGCTCTCAAAAAGTAGCTGGAGCCATCACAAGCAATGATCAGTAATTGATAATATAGCTCATAGGCAGCATCAAAAGTTCAAATGAAAATAATGTCCGCATGACCAGGCTACATGAAGACATACTAGAGAAAACAGTGAGCACCAATCCCTCAAATGCACACGATACAAATATACGAGTGTTCAAAACATGCTACTAAGATAGGTGGTGATGACAAGAGGTCCAACTCAAATCACACAAGACACTAAGCACACGCATGCATGCACGCAGACAAGTGTATACACACAGAATATACACAAACGGACTCGAGGTCAAACTTCTAATTTACTCCCAAAGAAAGTGTTAACAACTTCATGGCAAATATGGAAGACATTTTATTTCTGACTCTTCAATTGATTGTCTCATATCCTCATGGCAAATAGGGGTAATTTATGTACTTAACTTTTCTTTTATGGAATGAGAAGTATGTACACCACAGAGAATAAGTAATAGGAATACACATCTTCTAATATTTGAAAGTCATACTGACATGCACGGGCGCACCTTTTATTATATCTTCCAAATACCTAAGGACGATTATCTCATTGAATCATAAATGCTTCACACACACAAACACCCACAGCCACACACACACATATGGGATTGATTGTTGTGAGGTGGTGGCTCATTAGCAAAAGGAGCTACCAAGTGATGAAATGGTTAGGTCCAAACCTTTTAACATGACAATTAGGATGGGCCTCATCACATGTGCATCTCTTGGTAGCTCATTTTGCAAAATGAGACGTCACCTTGATAGTGAGGTGCCCACTTCTCATCCACGTATATATACACTTGTGTATATATATATACACTTGTATATATACATATACATATATATATATATATATATGAGAATAATGAGTATGCTTGATAGTGAGGTGGTCACTTCTCATCCACTCGTTCAATGGATGAGTAAATAAGTATGGACCATTTTTAAGTGGATACCTTTAAATGTGTGGATGGGAATAAACAAACTCACTACCAAGCATCAAATTTGTGCTCGGTAGCAAGCATGTTCATTGTTCTCTCTGAGTAAATAATGGGGGTAAATTTTCAAGTGGGCGCCTTTAAATGTGCGGACGGGAATAAGTAACCTCACTAACGAGCACCAAGAGTGTGCTTGCTGCTTGCTATCAAGCATTCTCTCCCACACCACCTCCCTCTATACACACACACATTCCTAGAGAATAACTAGCATTCTCTCTCTATATATATACGCACACATATTCTGAGAGAATAACTAGCTCTCTCTATACACACACACACACACATATATTCCCAAAGAATAGCTAGCTTGGTTATGCCCCCCTTCCGAAACTATACTATGTCCCATCAATTTACTTGATCCACTCCATTCATGTTGATCTATAAGTTTTGGATGATATATAAATAAAAAATTAAGCATATTAGGTAATAGTTATTTATTGATAAAGTGATTATCAAATTACCAGTTTCATGACAATACAACTGAAGAGACAACGAAAAACATGTCTTCGAAGTATTGAAACATCATGATTTTTTGTTTATATATGGTTTGAAACATTTAGATCATGATGAATACGGTGGAGCATCTATTGGAATAGTCTAACCTATGCATCAAGAGGTCTCTCTTGTTGTATTGGTAGGAAACTATTGATTGTTGTGACCAGTTGATGCATGTGTAATATATTGTCAACATATATAATTTTTTACTTGTAGACCTTTTAAGATGTGTACATCATGATGAACGGACTTAATAATCCAATTTCATTGCATAATATACATTTTCACAAAGTGGGCATAACTAAACTAGTCACGCCCTAGGAATAAAAAAACCCTCATATATATACATATAATTATAGACACACACAAACACAACAAATCTTTCCTCCATTAGATTAGTTATGAGAATCATGTTGACGTGTGATACACATTAATGCTACCTTCGAAATATTTGTCTTGATATGCATCACATACTAGCACGAATCTCAAAGCAAATTAAATGGATAAAAAAATCGGTGGACAAGAGCTTATATCTAGGGGTGGTAAGCGATCGAATCGAATCGAATCCTAAGGTGTTCGTATATGTATTTGTTTAAAATTATCGGATTCGAATGTGGACTCTAATATTCATATATCTAGTTTTTCGATTTCGAACTCGAATACTTGGTATTTGATAAATATTCATGAATATTCATGAATACTTATCGAATATCAAAGTGTATTTATTCCACTAAAGAATTTGATTTTCAAATAGTATTAAAATTCATAAATAAAATTTATTCCTTTATAATATATGATATATATATGTAAATTAAATTTTTAATTAAAAAATAGATTTAAGATTATTTAAGTCTTAAAATCAGTATATAAAACTTAAATAGAAATGGTATGTGGTTTAAAAATATTCATATGTGCAATAATACAAGTAATAAGTTGTGATCAAATTTTAAACGAATATTAAATAGACAAACAAATTGAATATACATCTGGTTAAATTCTATTTATTAGTAAACTCGAATACTAAAAAATATTTGTTTAGTGGTAAATGAACTACCGAATCGAATATGACCGAACTAAAAAATATTTGTTTAGTGGTAAATGAACTACCGAATCGAATATGACCGAATACTTATTCGAACAATTATCGAACTATTTGTTATAGTGGTAAATGAACTACCGAATCGAATATGACCGAATACTTATTCGAACAATTATCGAACTATTTGTTACTTATTTGGTTCATTACCACCCCTATTTCTATGCGGATAAGTTTACAAGAGCTTTACTCTCTCTATATATGTATATATAATCTAGGTGGAATGCACGTGCATTACGTGTGGTCAAATATTTTAATTATTTTTTTAAGTTTATATATTCACTATAATTGCATTATGGACATAATTAATCTATAGGTTGAATTTGTTTTGTTGGCAGAAAAATGAGAAAGTTAATCAAAAAGAAAGGAATTAAATTTAGGAGAAATAGTATAAAGAAATTTAGAGTGTACATATAATAATACACGAATTTAAGGGTGAAAAGAGTAGAAATTATCCACCAAATCCATGTGTATCAAGGTTGATGATCGGTTGACTGATTCCTAGTTATTAACGTAGCTATCACCTCAATAAATTATTTTAATTAAGTGACACCTATACATATGCATTAATATATTTATTAATGTATATAATTTATTAATAAATACACGGGCATGTAGGGGTTTTTATAACAATCCCTTAAATCATTAGTATTTTGTTATTAGTCCCTCGAATCTTTATATTCTGATATTAGTCACTTAAATTACAGAAATATGTTGATATTAGTTTCTGTGGTTAATTGGGATTATAAATAATGGAGAATATTTTGTTATGTTTAACTTTTTTAGGAAATTTTTAATTATGCCCTCACTCCTAGTAATAATACCCCATATCGCTAATCTCACGAAACCCAATAAAAGACCCCACCCAAACCTGTTTTTAGAACCTATATTCTCCAATAACCCAATAACACAATGAAACTAGCTTCTTCAGTGGCTCTTTGAGAGAGAGAGAGAGAGAGAGAGAGAGAGAGAGAGAGAGAGAGAGAGAGACTATTTAATGGGTGAATTAAATAGGTGGAGAGCATTTTAGTAGCTAAATAACCATGGTTAATGTAGACCTAAAAACGATTAATGATTTCGAATAGTAAACATAACAGAGCGACTAATGTCTACATATTTTTTTTCAAGTTGAGGAAGTAATATCAAAATATGCATATTTAAGGGAGTAATTTAAAAATACTAATGAGTTTAAGAGACAAATTTTAAAAAAAATATCGGTATACTTATTAATTTAAATAATTTATGAATAAATGGATACATGATTGCTCTCGTTGCAAAAGCTATTCAGTATATGATAATCATAAATGAGTTCTAAATTCTAATGTTGCTCCTTCTTGAGCTTTTTCATCAAATTTCATGATATTTTCTTGTCGCTTAGATTCACCCTACTTGACCAAATTTTGTGAAGTTTCAAGGATCTTTTTCTAAATTAATAAAATTTTAGGGGTCTTTTGAAGTTTCATGGTTATTTCTTCCATTAATTTCTTTAAATTTCTAGTGTTTTGTTAAATTAGAGAATTTTGTGAAAAAAAATTGAAATGTTTGTAATAATGAAATTGTTTGCAAATTTTGTAAAATCTGAGTTTTTCTAAAAATTTCTAAAATCTACGATTTCTTTTTCAAAAAATTTAATATTTTACAGTCTTTAGGGTTTCGCTAAGTTCTATGAACTCTTTCACAAAATATACAAGTTCGAAAGTACTTTGATTATTTCTCCTCATTTTGTAAGTTGATTTTTTTATTCCAGTTACGAAAGTCATTTGGGGATTTATATAAGTTGGATAAGTATTATGGATTTTAGAATCATATTAAAGATATTTCTATTAATTAGGATAATTAATTTTGTACAAATTCATAAAATCTAGAATTTTTTTATAGATTTTGTAATATCCGGGATTTTTCTGCAAAATTTTCAATAGTTTAAAGTATTTTGGGTTTCGGCGCAAAATGTATAATTTTTTAATGTCTTTAGGTATTTCTACTAATTTTGTAGGTTTTCTTTTAAAACAATTACACGTCTCACTCTAATTGGAGTTTTTAACTCATGGATTTAGCTCATCTCCTTTAGGCTTTTAAGCAATGGCCCAGGTGTTTGGGCTTCATTTCATAATTAAGAAATGTATGGTGGAGATGCATGCTAGATTTCTTGAAAAATGTTGACAAATTACTATTTTTTTGAAGCCTATAAAGAACTGTCACTTGAGCATTTCATACTTATACGTGAATTGCAATACAGGCCTAAGGAAGAAGATGAAAAAGGCTACTAGTAATTGATGAAAGAATATGGTAATTCTGAAGGATTATACAAGGGTGTCTCCTTCCTCCTTAATTCTCGGATTGATCGTACTGGCGTGACTCCAACCAAAGAAATGATAAGGGTTGAAGCCGAGACACTTAGTAAGACATTGTACGACAATTATTTTGGTTATCAATCGAATGGAGAAGCTTTCAATAGAGATAATTTCTATGAAGATGGAGACAAGTCTTATGACAAATTATATGAAAATGTTACAAAAATGACAAATAAGCAGAAGAAGACACCGCCCATAGACATGTTGTCAATGCTGAGTTCTATGAAGATGAAGACAAGTTCCACGATGAGTTTGGTGAAGAAGACAAAGAAGATGAAGAAAAAGAAGATGATGATGATGCAGCTGCTGCAACAGACCAAGAGGATGTCTGATTGATGATTGGTCGTTTGTTTTGTGTTTGGAGTGCATATTTTGCACTGTTTTAGATTTGATGTTCCTTGCATATATAATAGGTATCCTTGTCATATGAGAGGATTCCCTCATATGACAATGATGCGGCTCAGTCTCCACCAAGTGATCACTTGATGGAGATTGGAGATTGTAGCACATCATTGTATATGAAGAAATACCCTGAAATGACAAATGATACTCAATAACCTCATATATAACGCAATTGATGGCATCTTAAATGTCTTAACAACCAACCTAAATATTTTGGAGATTATTACTGGCAATTTATAATTTACAGATCTTACACTTAAGGCTAATTTTTTTCTTTAGGGGAAAGAGACAAAGGATGGAACCTTAAAAAACAAACCTCAGACACAATTTCCAATAACCTCTTACATTTCACGGACTGACAATGTACTAATTTGGTTAGTAAATAGGCATTGTTTATTAAAATTCAGAATCTGTAAGATGTGCATCTCTGATATCTCAGAAGGCAGAAATATATAAATACCAACATTCAACGAATTTGTTATTCTAATCTGAGGTTCATCATCTAATTGGAAACTACAACTTCACGACAATGTATAACTAAGAAACTCTGTAGCTTTTATTTCTCCACGCTTTGCACATCATGCTTGTATTCCTAGAGTACTAGTAATCACTAAATGGCACATATCACAATTTAGGGTCTAATATGTGAATAGATTTCCCATAGAACCCTAAATAACATGCTATATTGATCTATAAAACAACATATATACGTTATTTGCATTCAACTAGCTACTCTTACAGACCAAAAAAATTTCAACCTTTTAATGCTTTTCTAATAAAAAAATTTAATCATACAGGCAATACAATATCCCATCTTGAAAATCAATAACATTTTCATCTTTAGCAAACCAAAAAGATGATACACAATAACTTGATTCGTGTGTAACGTACCTGATCAATGACAAGTTCTATCTTCTCTTTCCAAATCAAGGCCTCCTGTATGTTAAATGCTGCCATCTGTTGAAATAACATAGTCAACGAGAAAATTTATGTAGAAATAAAATCATGAAATATCAGCGCCTAAGTATATAGGAGTAAATGGACCTTTATCCCTGAAAAAAATATTTAGATAAATATGCCTATTATGATTATTCAACATTATGAAAAGGAAAATATAGAAGAAATCCATCTCAAATATAATTCTGATGTGCAATGCCTACCTTGCCTTTACTAAACCAAACTCAGACCAAGCTAGGATTACTTCAAATTTTATTAATTTAATCCAAGTCAGGCACATATGCTGGTTCACCATAAGAAGATTGAAGCCAGGTTGCATATGAGCAGGGACGCAAGGTACATGTATGTTGATGTTGTTAGTGGTAGCCCTATCAGAATTAGTTCTAAATAATTTAAGCCAGACCCAGACTAGGGCCGCTAACAATGGCTCACATTCAACCAAGAAGAATTAAAATGCATAACTGGCATTAGAAGCATGAGCTTCAAGACATATAATAATGTCGTAGGGATGCAGTTCTAAAATATTGACAATCATGTCATACAGTTATGTCGTACACTAAAGTCTAGAACATGATGTCTAAGTTAATAAAAATAATCCCAGTTCTCTTTTTCCGTTTTCCTCCTTCCTTTCTTTATTTTTCTTTACCTTATTTCATTAGGTTGGAAGTATTTGTTGCAGGTAATGACCAAAATTTAATCTAGCCTATTAGTTGAGAGGCGATTCAACTCCTATGACCAAAATTTAATCTAGCCTCTTAGTTGAGAGGCGATTCAACTCCTCTTTCTTCATTCACCTTTATTAAAGGACATCTGCCGAGTAAGACAATTTTGATATCCACTTTTGCTAACTAAATACAAGTTAGTTAAGGCTTACCATTAGTCTTCATTGGTCCTTGACTAGTTGACCATTATTCTACTGCTTCTTCTATCTAGTGCACAGTCACAGGACGTCATTGCGTATCCACAACAAGTATATATTCTGCCTTGTCTAATAACCCACAATGAAGCTAATAGTAACTTCTTACAGATGCACTCATCACATATCTCATCTTCAGAGTACTTTTATTCATGCATCTCAATAGTCTTGCTCAGCAACATGTAACTCGTATAGGGTTTCCTTTATGACAATAAAATCTTATTATATTATGTTTATCGAAAAGAGTAAACAAATATTTGCACTAAGCCATCTTTCTGCATCTCATACGTATACATGTATATAAGCATGCAACAAATTTCATACATTTGATCTCTGCTTTTATACAAGAGTACATAAAACCTCATTGCACCCTGAAAAAGTTAATTCTTTCCATGACAAAAATTGATTAGCTCAAATCCTTGATCAACTAATGGGACGATAGGTACGTTCTAATGCTTTGGTAATGAAAATGAAATAAGCAACAATATACATGGCGATATTTAAGTACGTGGCTAAATAATTCATTTAGGAAAAGAAGGTAGAAATGAAAGAAACAAGTGAAAATAAATATTTATCTCCACGCACCGTAATCCGATTATACTTCTCTTTTTTGTTGTAGATGCATAAAACATAAACCGTCTGCCAACAAAACAAAAGACAGAATATCCGTCACTATAACAACTTGATAAACAAAATATGTTAAAATATTTATACAGAAGAGAAAGAAGAATGTGGTCATAACTTCATAATAACATCTGTACAAATGCATGAAAAAATAACTTGATACCTCATGGTAAAGGAAAGGTATAATGTACGATTTTAAAATGAAAAGAATAAAGAAATACTTTCAGAATTAATTTCCATAAAGTGTAAATAACTCAAAGAGATAATTAGACAAGTTTCAAGATACAATTTGCCATAAAATAGGGAGCTAATTTTACAAGGCTAGCCAAATGTATAATCCAAATAAGGCCATAACAGCCCTCTGAACGCGCCAGGAGTTTCGCTTACCACATGTCAGATTCCTAAAATTTTGCTGGGTTGCTGGTGTAATGCTTATATCTAACAAAGATGGGAAACCCTAAGCAAGGAAGTTAAGACTTTCTCCAAGCTTAATTATATTTTCTCCCTTCATGTTGTATTTTCAGATTTTTCTTATTCTATTCTTTATTTCTAAATCCGAACTAGCCTTCAAACCTAAAATCTCCTGGTGAAAATCTAATAAAGGTGTAAAACCCAAAGCAAGAAGGGTGCAAAATTCTCTCCAGATCTAATATTTCTCTCTTCTTCTCCCATCCCATTATCTTTTCAGATTTTCCTTGTTCTCTCTCTATGAACACTAATTAGCCTTCAGATTATCTCTGAATCCTAGCTAGCCTCTCTCTCTCTCTCTCTGAACCCTAACTAGCCTTCAAACCTAAATCTCCCTTCAGTGCCTACCTCTTCATCCTCCAAAAGGGGAGGCTCCATCAAGTAACTTTGAAACTCATGGTTTCAAGAAATGTGAAATGACAGAACTGTAAGTCTCACTATCATTTGGCTACTTTTAATTAAGATGCTTGGGACCATTGAATTTCAATGTTTTTCACTTATGGTGACATACTTAGAACTTGACTTTTGATATACGCATATGGAGAAGTTCAATTAGATACAAGTAAGATGAGGTTAGAGTCCCATTTGCGAACGCACACCCTAAACATACAAGTTTAAATTAAACAGAACAGGCAAACCCATTTTACCTGACCAACCTGTAGATCAATTATGTCAATTTCGATATGTGTTTTCCCCTAAAATACATTGATTCGCCTAGAATTATAGAGGTCAAGAATGTGGAAAAAATAGCAAAAATCCAATGCATAATCAAGATCAAATCGCAAATTCACTTCTTGGACGACTGAGAATGAGCAAACAAGCATCACTTACATGTCCATGGTGCATCTTAAGGCCCCTGTCCTCCACTCTACAGTTCCCATCTATAAGCAGAGTCTTAATCGGCACCTACAAAAAAAATTCCCAACAAAATCACTACTAAATACTGAGATTGAAGCATTTAAACAAGTAAAGATCTCTACTTACCATGTTATCCTGAGGCTTCCTCTTGTAGTAAGCAAGAACCCTAGTCTCAAGCACAAAATACCGCATGTGGATGAACGATCGCCCGATCTTTCGCCTCCCGTACCGAACCATCCATCCTTCATAAATCACCTTCGACATCGCTCCAGATCTCTCCCCTGCCCCCAAAATCTTCAACAATATAGAGAAGAAGAAGAAGAAGAAGGGAGTAGGGGATCTCTGCAAAACCTAACCGATCGCTGAATTCCCCAATATCAAACTAAATTCCAAGCAAATTCCGACAAAAGAAGTGGAGAGATCGAGGGAACTAGGGTTTTTGACTCCTTCGAGCTCGATCCCGGGCCCGATCGCGAAGAACAAGAGTCCTAAAAGAAACAAACAAGAAGAGAACTGTGCGATTGGGGCTTTTTACTGGTCTGCAACTTTTTCAATATTTTTATTCTTCGGTAAGGGTAGTTTGGGAATCCTTGAGGGGCTAACTGCGAAAATGGCAGCACTCGCCGGCGATTTTGGGTGTCGTCAGCGCCGGGTCTGGGGCGTCTGACGTCGGCAGCGTGATGGAGTGGGAGAGGTGTTTGGGGAAATGCCAACACGGTTGGGGGTTATTTACGATCGTGCCAGCTGGATGTCTACTGGCTGGCCGCTTCGTCTTGACTTCCGAGCTTGCCCCCCCTAGGGCCAACGATGGTTACACTTTGGTAAGCGGAATTAATCACCGGATTCGGCATTTGATACGGACCGGGACTTGTGGGGCCCACCAAATATGAGCATGAGATTCAGATACTAGATTCAAATTGGGACAAGCATTTTTCGGCAGGGTGACAAAAGGACGCATCTGGATGGAATATTGGAGCGCATATAGGTGAATATTATTTCTTTTTCTCCTAATTTGTCTTGTTATTTTGGAATCTGTATATGCATATTCTAACTGAATCCAATACGTCGAATGATAAGATGCGAATTCTGTTTCTGCATCAAGTTCAAATACTTGCTATATATCAATTGAATATTAACAAGTGGCAATGGTGAAATTGAAGAAAACTATAATTTAAATTGAGGGTAAATATCAGAAAATCCCCGTTATCTTTGGACGATTAAAAAAACCCCATTACCTTTGAAAAAATATCTAAAAGCTCCCCTTAAGTATAAGGATTATCACAAAACTTCCTTTTTAGCTTTGAGATTTTATCAAAAATTCCTTTTGATGTTGGGATTTTGTCAAAAATAGGATTTCTGATAAAATCCCAAAATTAAAGAAGATTTTAAATGATATTAGTACGAATATCCATAAAAAGGAACAAATGAATATCTATGCATATATTTTATATTAATTTGCACTCAATATGACATGATTGTCGAGATAGGACATGAAAACATGACAATGGTGTGGTATGTATAGTCCGAAACGACACAACAAATGACATGTATGCTGTATATGTGCATGTGTGCCATATGCTGATATGCTATAGCCTATAGTATCTTTCAAGCCAATGTAGGAAAAACATGACAATAGTATAAAATTATCATATCATACTCCCTTTAAAAGTATGAGTTTGGAAAAATCTTTTGGTAGATAAAAATACCCTTAGAATTTAAATACTAATCCATTAAGTAAGAATAAGTTGATAAATTGATGAATTCTTATTGGATATACATAGTATGAAAATAATGATATAATTTAAATTGAAATGTAAAACTGAATGAAATTATTAAATACCAAATTTATAAATGTATACAAGATGAATGGCGTACGTGCAAAAACTAAACAAATTAATGAGAGGATAATATATTTGGATTCAAATACTAATCCATTAAGAAAGAATACAATTTATTGAAAATCATACGCCTTCCGTTTTATTTTTTATTGAGCAGACATCAATCTTTCTCCACATTTATCTTTTTCGATAAAATTAGACTATATTTAGATGTTGAAAATGGATAGTAAACCTTAAAATGGAAGTTAAATTTATGTATCTTAATGAAAGAATATCAAACAACCAGTCTTTTCTTTGCTATGTTTTGAAAGTTTAGTCCTTTTTCTGATTTTGAATTTTTGAGGGTATATTTTATAAATTTTGAAATTTTAAAAGTGTTTTCTAAAAATTTTAACTTTTAATTTGGATACATGTAATTTCCATGTTTTATATGTTGGTGATAAGTTTTTGAATATCAGGATATTTTTGTAACTCTAAAAATTTGAGGGTGTTTTTTATAATTATTAAAACTTTAGATTGATTTTTATAAAATTTAATTTTTTAGTGGTTTGCTGATAATTTCTAGATTTGATATGTACTTGTAATAGGTTTTGAAATTTTAAGGTTTTTTAATCATTTTTTAATTTAAATGAGTTTTTGTAATTTTTATAACTCCAAGGCTATTTTTTATAAATTTTAAATTTTTAGGTGTGTGATGGTAATCCTTTGAATTTATCTTTGTTGTCTGTAAGTTTTAAAATTTTAGAATTTCAGGGTGCTTTCTTATTACTTAAACTTTTAAGGATGTTTTTATAATTTTTAAAACGTTGATGGTGTTAATTGTAAATTTTAAATTCTTCATATGTTGCTATTAATTTTTAGATTTTATGATCATTATTTTAAGTTTTGAAACATCGGGATGTTTTGTGTAATTTTAAAATTTTGAGAATATTTCATACAAAGTTTGAAACTTCTTAGGTTATTTTGTAATACTTCACATATTATGTTTTTTAGTTCTTTACCTTAATAAATTAATACTGTGGAGTTATTTCATGTATTTTGTTAGTCTTATTTTTTTTAACTATTGAGCTGTAGGTAATTCACATGGGATTTGGAGAGGATGTAATTATGATTAAGATAGATCAAGATTTAAATAAAAAATCCAAAATAGTAAAGGGTAATATTGACCATGGAAAGTTTTTTTTTGAACTCGTACTTTTAAAAGGAGTATCATTAGATTAGATTAGATTATTTTAAAATAATTAATTATATTGTATATTTGATTCTTTTTAGATGAGAAATTACAATAATTTTCATGACACTTTCATCTCATTCAACATGTATGTGTCTTTGTTATTTTCTTCTTATTAGATTAAATTATTAAATTAGATTAGATTGTTTAAAAATTATAAATTATGAAATTGCAATAATTTTCACATCACTTTCATCTATTTTCTTTTAATTAGATTAGATTAGATTATTTTAAAGTAATTAATGATATTGTATATTTGATCTTTTTTTCAGATCGCAAAGATCAAATATTTTAAAGCAATTAATGATATTGTATATTTGATCTTTTTTTCAAACCACAAAGTTTAATTATACTATAATTACTTAAGTAAATATTGTTTATATAAAAATTAAAGAAAATCTCACACGTATTTTAGATCTCAATGCCAACTGTAATACTTACATATAGGTGTTAGTTAATATAAATTTTATGCATGGGCTTAACTTATATAATCATACTTTAATCGGATTAGATAATTTTATTTTATTTTTTACACCCAAATTCTTCCACAAAACCAAAAGAGAGTAGTAATGATATAGCTATATATATATATATCCACAGGACCATAAATATCTTAAAAATGAATGAAAAAAACCACACAAATATAAAACATATTAATTACCCTCACACTGTCACGCCCCGCTTTCTAAAATACTAGGGAATCGGAACGTGAACAAGTCTGCGACGTATTAGATTAAGGAGAATAAATAAAAATAAACATTTCTCCTCAACCTAATACGCTAAGCGTCAAGACATAAATGCAAAGGCACAAGTCTCTAATCACAGATAGCGAGAATATAATAAACAACTCAGAACAGAATATCCATATCACAAGTGAATATCATCCAAGACATAATATTCGGGGTTAAACATGTCCTTATACAAAATTGAACAATTGAAAACTGAAAGAATATAAAATACCTCGTTCAACGGAAAAGAAAGGAAATATTATAAAAGATAAACTAAGACCATCAACTAAGAAGAGATAACTGAACTTCGGCCTATTCTTCAACTCTATCTGCAAGGCACTCCTGATGAGAATCCTCTGGCACCTGGCGATCTCCCAGTTGGACCTGTCTTTCCTCTAAGTCTGATGTACACCAGAGAAAACAGGTGTACGGCAGCGTGCATGGCACACGACAAGACCCCACAAAAGAAAAAAAACGAACGAAAAGCCAATGCGAAAAATAAAACACCAACAGAAATGACAAAGAAACGTGCAACTGGAAATCTAACAAAATCAACATGCAAATTCACTACTAAAACAAGATAAACATAAAGCTAACTGCATACGGTAACCGGGTCGCATACTAACCATCCTAAAACTCACTGGTCCACCTCTCAAATAGGTCCAAGTTCGCATCACCGGAAGGCTGACTGTTCACAATCCCCTACGCGCATCCAATCCTACAAAACATGCGGCTAGAGGACTACACACAATCCGATCTCAGCCTGGTCTGGACTCAGGCAAAGCTTAGGTGACGAAACAGGTCACAGGCCCAAGTGGCGAAACAGGTCACTTGGTCCAACAAACCTACCCCAGGACGAAACAGGTCACTGGTGTGAGCCTGGAAGATAAGTCAACAATCACATTCAATCATGCGAACTAAGATTTTCCCATCCTAACTCTTCTCATTTTTCTAAGTCAACAATCATAACCTAAACTAGATTTCTGGTCCACCTCCTAAATTCAGTCAACACACCCACACATGTCACTAGGTCTGTTCATGACGCACGAGGCCACTAAGTCATGAACTACTAATGGTTCTCAAACATAACAAGGAACAGTAAAAAATCTAACTGATTCTATGTAATAACATGATGACAGGTCAAATATATTAAAATAAATCGCAAAACATAAAATGTAATTATGAATAGTAAAATCATGCATGCAATCTGGTTTTATTAATATCTTGTTATTCGAACTTCTAAACTACTCATAAAAATTATTAGCAACTAAATAACATCAAATACAACTACGGTCAAAAAGAAAATTGAAAACCACGATTGTTTTACACATGAAATATCGCGGTCTACAACCACCAAAACAAGATCATTAATTAATTAATTCCAAAACAAATAATTCTTTTTCAAAATAAAATTCCTTTAAATTATATTAATTATTCCAAAATAATCTTTTCTCAAAATAGTTTAACAATTCAAAATAACTCATTTTCCAAAATAAATTATTTTAAATTATTTATTTTAATAATTATTCAAAACCAAACCCTTTTCCAAATAATCTCTTTTCTCATCATAATAATTCTAAAAACATGTCAAAATAACCACTTTTACACAAAATAATTATTTCTTTAAATTACTTATCATAATATCATTATTAATATTAATCATCCACAAGCCCACGTAGTTAATAACAATATACACACTACAACATAATCTAAAAATTGAATGACGAGTCAAAGAATATCGGGATCTTACCTCGGGTTCGTGGGTGTGAACGGAGCAGCGGGGGTTGTTACGGCTGTACGGGTCACAACGGGTTCCGTGGCTCGTCGGAAAGTGAATCGTGTGATAGAATACAAAAAGGGAGGTGTTAGTAGCGATTAGCGATATTCAAAGCGATATAATAAGAGGTAAAAAATAAGCCCAAGTGAGAGGGAGATACCGTGTGATAGACAATATAAATGGCTACACACCGGCGAAGACGGTGACAAAAACGGAGACCGGAGGTGGCCAAAAA